TTTTACATATCTAATGCCGACGAGACCTTGCGTCAAATACCAGGGCTCATCAAGCCGGGCCTTATAGATCATAAGGAAGGTAGCTAGTCAAAAGTACCCTCTGCTAACCCCTGTCTTCTCTTGTCTAACTGAATAATGTGACTTGACTGTCAGTTATAGTGTATCTACGTCTCCAAAGTGCAGAGTGTGTTCTTACTGCAAGGGGGTCGTGAACCATAAATCATCGGATTAACAGTCTGAGTATGCTATTCACTAGACTACAATAAACTGAATGATAAGATTCCTTATGACAGTTGCGAATATTCAGTAAATGTTTTCCGGGGTTGATATTTTTACTTAATTGGGTTTGCTCTAAAAAAAAAAAAGCACATAAATTGGAATCATTTTATAATATTTGTAACTTGAGTTAATTTCAATATATATTTTTTCTTTTTACTCAATCTGAGATAGTATCTATCTACCTGTACTCATTACAAACATATTTGCAAATTGTTGACTGTTCAGAAACGAGTAGCCCCTCCTGGATCATCTACGATGAGACAGGGTTCCTTAGGATAACATTTACTCCAATAAATTTATAATTTCGAACCTGATGAATAAGGAATTGAGGAAAAGCGTATTGCAATTTTATAATCTTGAAAATAAATTGTTACTTCTCTGTTGCGGATTCCCACTTCGGGCAAATAAAACTGTTGAGTGAGTAGTAATTAAACGCCGCTAGAGTCACAGTCATTGGAGTTTATTTTGATTTTTTCTTCCCCAACTAGATGGTTATGTCTGAAAATATATGCTGTTTTCTAACTTTAACTTTCGCGTTTCATGTTGATTGCTTATATGAATAGGAAATTAGAAATAGCATTTTCACTAAATGGGACCTTATGCGTACGGGAACTAAACATCCCGTATAGTGACTCAATATTCAGGTGTAGCCATCCCCAATTTCGAAGTACTTGCGAGAGGAAAGGAAAGAAGCTTTTGTCTCCAAAAGGGCTTTGTTCGGTTCTTTGAACCGAATAACGATTTCAATGCTACTTTTATATCGCGACCACAGCTGAAAGTGCAGCGATCAGCGGCATCATGTTTTTTTCGAATCCCAGAACCCGCGATCTGCAGCCCAACAAGTTAGGTAGGTACTCGGCTACGCCAGTCCCACAAGTATGAAAATTCAGTTCTTGTCTTAATGCTTGCGACTTTGACCAAAGCATTATAACTTCTTTGTTAGCATTATATTTTGTTCACGAAGTTCTGATTCGAAACGGAAAACATTCCATCTGCTATTGCTCATGAGGATAAACAAATCCAGAAATCACCAAAAAATGTCGACTTTAAAAGTCATAGACCAGATAATAATAATTGCTACCGTTATAAGAAACTTTTGTTGTGTGTTCTTTCACCCACATGTCTTTGTTTCCATGAGACCTGATGATAAAAATTTGTAAGAAATTTTAACTAATTGACTATTACAGTTAAACGTTTTATGCTTACCAGTAATTCGAAGAAGAATACATGAAGAATGAAGTACAATTACTGGTTGAATGGTAACGCTTACTATATGTAAATTTTAATCATCAGATAACTGTATTTTAACAAAAGTTATATAACCGAATGATCCACTTTTTAATATATGTTTTAACTGATGCATGCATGAATGTATAATAAAATATTCGTATTTGATTAACTAAATGCCTATTTCTACTTTAGACTCCGGTTTGTAACAAAACTATTTGTTTTAATAATTAAGGGATTTTTGATAATTGCTAATAATCAGTTTATAAACTCTTCTCAGCAAGAAACTTGATGATTTAAACCGAAAAAACAACAACAAAGTTTGCGTGCTTACAGGGAAATATTTTAATATGAATTAGTACTGGCACTGCGTATGTCTACATGGAGTACTCTAACATCCCTATAATTATTTCTCTTTCATTGGCCCGGCATGGCCAGGTGGTTAAGGCACTCGACTCGCAATCTGAGGGTCGC